CAGTAAATAGTTGAATAGTAAAATAGTGAATAGTGATAACTGAATAGTTAATAGTAAATAGTGAATAGATAATAGCAAATAGTGAATAGTTATTAGTAAATAGTTAATAGTTATTAATTAAATAGTTAATACTTCATAGTTATTAGTTAATAAATAAATTGTTAATTAATAAATAGTTAATAGTTAATAGTTAATAGTGAATAATAAATAATGGATATTAATAGGCATATGACTGAAATAAATAATATAAATATAAATATAAATATTTGAATTAGTAATTCACCCGCACATGCGCGAGTTGAACTCACATTTGCCAAATGAGTCGGTGAATGTGCACATTCACCGGTAAATGTGCACATTCACCGAAATATGCACATTTACTGTAACACATACATTTTTTTGTTTAATTAATTTCATGAGTAATAAAAATTTTAATTCTTTCCCAGGCTTCAGTTCTAAAAACCCACCAGCTCAAACACGACCTGGGCTCATACACTTGTCCCTACTGTGATGCAGTCGTCCGGTACATCCAGTCTTTAAAGCGACACATCACCCAACTACACAAAAGCAAAATCCATGAAATGATGTTCCTGAACTTCGAAGAACTAAAATGCACCCTGCCATTAAAAAAATACAAAAAAACAAAACAAACTCAACAACAAAATACTAGTTTTACACCGATACAAAGTAAAGAGTTATTATTAATTGAAGAACCATTGGTGGATACAAATGTATTGGAAGATGCTGGAGATAATTTTATTTATGATGATAATTTGTTGAATTTGGTGATTGATTATCCGATTGAGCTTTTGTGTACGGAAGATCTGAGCCAGTTTTCAGTGGAGGAACGCGGTGGGGAAATTCTGAATGCTGAGACGACTGTTGATGCTGGTTGTGATTTTTATGTTGATACGAATACTGGACAGTTGGTTGTTTTTGAGAAGACGTAGGAGGATTTAATTATAGGTAGATTTAATTATATATATATATATATATATATATATATATATATGTTTAATTTGACTTAAAAAATCGGGCGTTACATTAATAAAAATAATATGAGAGTTTCTTTTTAAAAGTTTATCTATTTAAAATCCATACGTTTCGGCTAGCATCCTAGCCATCATTCAGTGGTAATTAATTTAACTATAAAAGTTAAAACTAAATAAATAATATGTAAGAAATTTCATAGAAAATCAATAATAATAATAATTTTAAAGTTAAAGTATATAAGTATAAAGTTTTTAAATGTAAAAGTATAAAGTTTTTGGCAAAGGCAGGCCCAGCCATTTTGAAGATACAGAGCTAAATGTGCAAAAAATGGCAGTTTTTGAGAGAACTAAGCGTCCGATTTGTATGATCTAAAAAAAACTTTCTGCTTGTATTGACTAAACAATTGCCTTCGAGGATAAAAAATTATTACATCTTGTTTTATTTTCCCTAAAATATTTTTGTAATTTTGGATTAAAAATTCAAAAAATTACCCAAGCTAAGCACAGTCTAAGCGCCACCCTGGTACACATGTTTACCCAAGTGCGTTTAGACTGTTTATGTACTGGAGCACTTTTTCAATTTTGTGAAAACTATTAAAAAATGTGAAAATGCCGCCAAGCTAAGCACAGTATAAGTGAAAATGTCGCACAGAATTATTTGCATATGCGTTTAGACTGTGACTTTAGAGCACTTTTTCAATTTTGTGCAAATTAGGCAACAATTTTTTTCTTGAAATTGAATTCGAAATGAAATGACGATTGTTAATATTCCTGGAGATAAATTGATTTATGATTTATGATTTACATTTGATTTGCTCACAATCAGATATAACAAGATAGCAAAAATAATGAAAGTTACACTATTTGTAATAATGTTTTCAAATACGTTTAAAACTTCTCGAATATAATACGGTACGGGAAGTACCAGCGATTTGCCTTAAGGCACGATGCCATACACCACTAGTTTTATTTTATTACACTTACAATTTTGTATCCTAACATAGCATATGAAACCATTATTAATCCATGGTATGAGTATGTGCACATTGATAAGATATATATTTTTTAACATCACAGATGGTAAAACACACTAATAAATATGATAACTTAACAAGTTGTCAAAACTATGTATTTACTGTTCGGAGTTTAAGATAGAAATGTCATATTTTTTCTTAAAGCAGTTTTTAACATTTGTTCAAATTTTATGATAAATTTAAAAAGCGATGGGATCTTGTCATTTTTTGTTGCATTCAGAGGAAGGGAAATTAATTACATTTCGATAGCTTTCTGAAAGTAAGCAAGAAGAACTACGTTTATTTCCACAATTTGATTTTAAAAAGATAAAACAAGATTCAGAAAATCTTCTAAAGTCCACATTTTTTTAACTTCCCGTAGGGTAGTTATAGTAATGGGCCAAAAATTGAAAATGAAAATTTTTGCATTTTTCGACGTTTTGAAGGTTTCCGAACATTTTTAAGGCATAACTCAAAAACTAAATGGATGTGTGTGTGTCTGTGTTTTGTATGTCCGCATTTTTTCGTCCACGTTTTCGGGCGCACGGATCAACCGATTTGAATGGTTCGAAAAAAATTCGATTCCTATTGATAGGGAGATGTGCTGGTTAGTTTTTGGCAAAGGCAGGTCCAGCGGTTTCAGAGATACAGAGCTAAATGTGCAAGAAATCGAGTTTTTGAGAGATCGGAGCATCGGATTTGAATGATCCAAAAAACATTCAATTCGTAATGACGGGGAGAAGTGGTGATTAAATTTGGCAAAGGCAGGTCTAGCGGTTTCGGAAATACAGAGCTAAATGTGCAAAAAATGGCAGTTTTTGAGTAAACTAACCGTCCAATTTAAATGGTTCAGAGAACTTTCTGCTTGTTTCAACAAAATAATTGCTTTTGGAAAAAAATTTTGTCTCTAATTTTTTATTCCAAAAATATTTTTGTAATTTTTTGGGTTAAAAATTCAAAAAATTACCCAGGCTAAACACAGTCTAAGCGCCACTCTGGTGCAAATGTTTACCCAAGTGCGTTTAGACTGTTTATGTACTGGAGCACTTTTCCAATTTTGTGAAAACTATTGAAAAATGTGAAAAATGCCGCCAAGTTAAGCACAGTATAAGTGAAGATGTCGCACAGAATTATTTGCAAATGCGTTTAGACTGTGACTAGACGGGAGCACTTTTTCAATTTTGTGTAAATTATTAGGCAACTATTTTTTTTGAAATTTAATTCGAAATGAAATGACGATTCATTTAGATATAACAAGATAGTAAAAATAATGAAAGTTACAGTATTTGTAATGATATATTTGAAAACGTTTAATATTCTTCAAATATTTCATTACGGTAACGAAAGTTCCAGCAATTTGCCTTAAGGCACGATGCCATACACCACTAGTTCTTTATATAAAATTGTAGGATGATCAGTAATAAGAGTGTTTGAAGTTAATAATGAGCTCAGAAAACATTGTTTTGGATTTTTGAGTTATAAATATGCTGATTTATTCTCTTGCTGATATATTGGGAACTTTCACCAATGTAACAACTGTCACAGTTTGAACAATTAATTTAATAAACGGAATTGGTTACTCCGTCAGACAGAAATTTAGATTTTAAAGTAGAAAACAGGGAACTAAGTGTAAAAACTAGAAGAAAACCTTCAACAGAAAATAGTTTTTTGAAACAATAAGAAAAGCTACCCATATATATATACATTAGGGTGGTCCTTAATATGGACATTTTCTAATTTCTTTGCTCTCAAGGGCTCAAATGCTTCCAAATAATCACAAAAAAATTCTCAAAAAGTTTTAGCTCTTAATAATAACATTTAGATAGTCCGCAATTTAATTGAAAGTTTTGTATATATATTTTTAACATATATCATTAAGTAAATTCTTGCGCCATCTGTGATAGCAGACTTGTAACTTTGATGGCAATTCATTAAAATGATAATTTGAATGTCAGAGTCACCGATTAAATAAATATTTTGCTGCAAAATTAATTTTGATGCCAAGATGAATAAATATTTTGTTAAACAGTCCACATGGATTTAATTAGAGGTTAAGTGTTTTATAAATATTTTTAAGTGTCATAATATTTGAGTTCACAAATGCTGTCACAGATGGCGCAAGAATTTACTTAATGATGTATGTTAATAATAAATATACGAAACTTTTAATTGAATTTCGGACTATCTAAATATTAATATTAAAAGCTAAAACTTTCAGAATTTTTTTTTATTAATTTAGAACCATTTAGGCCTTTGGAAGCAAAGAAATTCAAAATTGCCTATATTAAGGACCACCCTAATAATAAATAAATATATATAAATATATATATATATATATATATATATATTTCAAAGTAACTAGCAGCCTTTTCGTCAAATAAAAAAGTAATAAAGTATTTAAGAACTTTTATTTATACGTTTCGACACCAGATGCGTGTCATCATTCAGCAACTACAATAAATTTGAAAAAGATTTTTTTTTAATAATAATAAAAAACAATTATGAAATAATTAAAATTATAACATAGAGGAAGCATTATACATACCACCAGGATAAAAACACTTGAAAAAAAAATATATTTTTTAAAAAAAATTAAACTTGTAACATATTAGAAAGACATTTTTTGTGGGAAAAATAATGAATAACTAAAACTTTTTACACGTCCTGGTGGTATATATAATGCTTCTCTATGTTATAATTCTAATTATTTTATAACTGTTTTTTATTATTAAAAAAAAATCTTTTTCAAATTTATTGTAGTTGCTGAATGATGACACTCATCTGGTGTCGAAACGTATAAATAAAAGTTCTTAAATACTTTATTACTTTTTTATTCGACGAATGGGCTGCTAGTTACTTTGGAATACGTCGAAAAAACTATCAAGATATATATATATATATATATATATATATATATATCACACAAGCATTTAAAAAAAAACATTAAGATGTTTTTTATTTCAATTCATCACAATTAGTATTTACAATATGTGTGGCAAATTACAATTCTGAAACTATTCATTACAATTTATAAATTCATTTAATCCAATTTTTCAAATGTATAATGCACTTTCCCTTCTTCTGGATATTGTTTCGGCATATGCGGATGTATAAATTTGTATTGTTCGCAAAGGAAATAAAGTGCAAAGAATCCAGCCATCACAGCAAGGAATGTTAAAGTTTGCTCGTGAGGATGGATTAGGTACCTCTGCCCGAGGTTGAACCTATCTTCACCGATGGATTCAATATAATTATGAAGCTAAAAGAAACATAATTATAATAGCAACATACTTAGTATAAAGATTAATCTTTTATCTTACTGGTTCATTGAAGTTTCTTTTGTGTTCAGGGAAGTCCCAAGGGTAGTATGGGTCCCTGCTTTCAATACCCTTGTCGGGAAGTTTTGGATAGTCTCCTAAACCTTCGTCTTCGGGGTAGGGTTCATATTCTTTGGGGTGTAGACCGTATCGCTCAGCTGCCTTGTTGCGCTCTTCTTGGGTTCTGGGGTATGGACCGGGCTTGTAGTCCTTGTTCCAATCTGAGGGAAATAGACTTATAATTAGAAAAATACACAACATAGTTGATAGACTATAACAAAACATCTAATAAGGAACAAACAAATTTGTTTGGAACAATATCAAAAGATTTTGCAGTATCATATACTAAAAGAAAGCAAACCAAGATTTATTTTGTTTTCTAAGGGATATTAATATTATTTTTTTGTCTTATATTGACACATCACAAAGAGGTTAGAAAATTGTTATGCAATGTTTCACAAAAACCACATTTAATCCTAAACCGCAACAAATACTCAATTAACACTAATATTATTTATTATACTTACGATTCCTTGCTAAAGTATAAACAGCTGCAGGGTTTCTATTGGAAAACTTAGTAGCAACTTTGGCCAATTTTACTATTGCAGACATTCTGGGAAAAAATGGTTAGGCAAAATATTAATACCTTATATTATATACAAGTGGTTCAAACAGATTTATTAATCTGTTTTAAAGAAACACGACAATAAATACCTGAAAATTAATATTTACTGTCAAAAATTATGAAATGTGAAACTGTCAATTTCGACTATTCAAGTTTGACAGCTCGGGAAATGTCGTCCATCTTTGACAGCTCGGAAAATGTCATCCATCTTGGATATTTTTTATTAGGTGGTACACACATTGGGTATTTTGTAAAATCCAAATTAGCAGTTTTTTTGTTACAATTTTGAATAGGTTTTTTAACAAAATCATAATGTTTTTGTAATTTTATACTAAAATTATAAAATTATCAGCAGCTTATAAATATTTATCCACATCATTTATAATATATTTATGCAAATCTTAATAAACTAATATTTTTTTACAACAAAATACCTTCAAGATTCTTTCTGCCTTAATAAACAATTAGCATAAATATTGTAAAATTATTATAAAATCTACAAAATCTTACTACTTTTGTTTCGAAACTGTCATCCTACATATTTATTGATTTTCCAAATTTCATGCAGAACCTCACGACCTAGTTTATAATATTTATACACCAAATAAAAATTGCACAAATATGTCTTATTGTGAGCCCATAATTGTTCTCGGTTTATTAATTCTTCCTTTTTTATACGATTTGAGTGAAAAATGTCGATATTATTTTAGATTTGCTTTGTTTTACACGATTTTAATGGTTAATTCTGTAATATTAATTCCTTGGTTGCTTTATAAGCCTTTTGAACGGAGTAATATACAGTAAGGATAATAAATTATTAAAATTAAAAAAATATAATATAATAGTTTAAGGACTTTTGGAATATTTGTGTTAAGTCGCCTGGTTAGCTGTCAAATAACTACACATACCCTCACAATATACAGAAACATTTTTTTTTATCTTGTATATATTATATTTCTTGCAAAAAACTTATTTTTGAATAACAAACTTATTTATTTTACTATACTATATATACATATATATATATATATATATATATATATATATATGTATATATATATAACTTATATATAATTTTATTTAAGTTATTAATTATAGTTTATATATATTATATATATATTTTTACATGCCATATATCATTTTGATTAGACATTAATTTTGATTTACAAAATTTCTTCAATAGTGATGTGTTTTTTATTGCCTAATATATTTTATTTTCTTTTTTAGGATTATAAGTTTATGGTGTCGTCACATATCCTGGTTGCTGGGTCTTCGTTGGAATATCCATGGTATCCATAAGCTCGACAACAAGAAGTCTTTTATAATGGTTGCAAATCATCAAAGTAGTCTTGATCTTTTAGGTAACGATTCATGGGTCAATTCTGCCGTAACAGAGCTCTTAAAATAGCACTCTCTTATGCTTGTTATTTGTAGTGAAAATTATGAAAATGTCTATCTATTTGCCGTGCGATCAGGCGTATTTTACACATAAACTAGCAAGGAAGAATCTTATTAAACAGAATTTTTGATCATAACATTCTCCCTTAATTTGTTTATATCTAAAATACGCCTGATCGCACGGCAAACAGATCGACATTTTCATAATTTTCACTACAAAGAAGAAGCGCAAAAGAGTGTTACCATGACAACGCTATTTTATGAGCTCTGTTATGGCAGAATTGCCTCATAAATAAATTTTCACATCATGTTAAGTGTCTATCTACATTTTTAGATATTTATGGAACATAGACTGTCCATTTTTGTGATGAGAAATCTCGCAAATAATACATAAATCTGTTAAAAAAAATAAATAAGAAGAAATCAAATTCAACTATTTATTGCAAAAAATTGCTTTAGATATTTAAACAATCATCAGAATCAAATACAAAGTTACTATCATTTAAAAAGTGCTGCTGTGCTTCATGTTAATCTATGAAATGTTTTTAATAATTTGAAACATTTCGATAAGTATTTTTATCACCTATAATTACTATATTGTGTTTTTCCAGGTATGTTTGAGATAATACACTATCTACAGTTTCCAATGACCATTATGACAAGATTGAGAGTGATTTTGATTTCGCCTCTTGGATTAGCAATGTGGTTATCGGGTATTGTACTTCTTAAACCACAGCAGACAATGAGCGATTTGAAGACTAATATTTATGGAAGAGACAATATAAATAATAATGTAAAATTATAATATATAATTCATATATATATATATATATATATATATATATCAGGGTGGTCCTTAATATGGACATTTTTGAATTTCTTTGCTCCCGAGGGCTCAAATGCTTCCAAATGTATAAAAAAATATTCTCTAAAGGTTTTAGCTCTCAATATTAACATTTAGATAGTCCGCAATTCAATTAAAAGTTTCGCATATTTATTATTAAGTAAATTCTTGCGCCATCTGTGATAGCATTTGTGAACACGACACTTAAAAATATTTATAAAACACTTAACCTCTAATTGAATCCATGTGGACTGTTTAACGAAACATTTATTCATCATGGCTTCAAAATTAATTTTGCAGGAAAATATTTATTTAATTGGTGATGTAGACATTCATATTTACAGTAATAAAATGCCATGAAAATTACAAGTCTGCAATCACAGATGGCGCAAGAATTTACTTAATGATAAATGGTAATAATAAATAAACGAAAGTTTTAATTGAATTGCGGACTATCTAAATGTTAAAATTAAGAGCTAAAACTTTTAGAGTATTGTTTTTAATTGATTTGGAAGCATTTGACTTGTTGGGAGCAAAGATGAGGTAGATAAACTTTTAAAGTATATAAGTATATGTAACTTCCAATTACAAGGTCTAACTTTTAGTAAAAATAATTTATTATTATTTGAAGATTAATTATTTTTTTATTATGTATAATTATCATATTATTTTCTCCTTTAATTTCTATAAAATCATCAAATTATGATCTCGAAAAAAACTCTCCATTTGAATGTGGTTTTGATCCAATATCATCTTCTCGAATATGAATATATGTTAATATTAAGAGCTAATACTTTTAGAGATTTTTTTTGTATTAATTTGGAAGCATTTGAGCCCTTGGGAGCAAAGAAATTCGAAAATGTCCATATTAAGGACCCCCTTATATATAATAATTACCTTATTATATATATAATAATGTTATACCCTATTAATAATGTGTAATTTTTAGATGATTATGTGGAATTTCCCGGAGATTAAAACAGGCATTGGTGACAAGATTCAGAAGTTTGATAAGCATGCTTTTTCTTTTGCAATCGAAGATGATTTACCAATAGTGCCTGTTGTGTTTGGCTCGTATAAAAAAATATTTGATGATGACCAGAAGTATTTTAATACAGGTAAGAAGTCTATGACAATTTTATTAACTTTGCAATTCAGTTTAAATAATTCTTAGAAATAACTAGTGGGGCGCAATGCATCGTGCCTTAAGGCAAATTGCTGGAACTTGCCGTACCAAAAAAAATTTTTTTTTTATAAGGTTAACATTTAAAAAAAAAATACTCTGAAAAAATTAGATTTTTGAGAAACTATAAATTTTTGACAAAAATTTACTTTTTTCGAAAAAAAACAAGAATTTTTGAAAATTTATTTTGAAATACTTTGGAAATTTTGAACCTTTTTTCAAAGCAATCGCACTGCTTTAACTGCATAGAGACGAAATATCGAATCGCGTAAGCGCTGCGTCGCCGTCTAACGAATAAACATTGGTACGGAACCCATAGGAATGTAAACAAAATTTATACTTATTGTTAAAATCTCTATAAAATATATGATAATTTGATGTGCATATGTCTAATGATCATTTTTGACCGCCAAATGGCATTTTTTTTACTTTTTTTTACTAGATTTCCGAAACCGCTAGACCTGCCTTCACGAAAATTTAAGCAGTTCTTCATCTTGTTAATACAAGTAAAATGTTTTTTGAATTATTAAAATCGAACGCTCCGTTCTCTTAAAAACTGGGTTACCGTTTTCGGCACTTTTTGCCCCATATTTTCGGAACGGCTAGACCTGCCTTCGCCAAAAACTAATCAGCACGTCTCCTCATCAATACGAATCGAATGTTTTTTGAATTATTCAAATCGCTTCATCCGTGTTCCCGAAATCGTCGTCGAAAATTAGTATCCGAACACACACACATACACGCACACACACATACACACACACACACACATACACACACACATAGATCCATTTTTTCTAAGGTATGCCAAAATGTTCAGAAGGTTTGAAACGTAAAGATATATAAAAATTTTCATTTTCGATTTTTTTTGCGATTACTATAACTTGCTTGAAGTTAAAAATAAAAGAAATAAAATGAGATAAGGTCCTTTCTTAGATAAACTTAGTATAAATTGATGGCAAACACAGCCGCTTTGAAATTACATCAATTTTAATTCTGTCAGCATATCATAGATGTCGCCACCGGTCGTAGCACGTAAATTTACCATTAGGTTCAATTCTAGGATAAGATTTATTTAAATATATAATATAGAAAAGATAAACCTGATAAATTTGACTAAATGAAATGAGAACAAATATACGCGTATAGAATATATTTGTAACAAAATCACAAATATGTTGTAATAATTATATTAAACATTTTTTTATTCAAAAAAGATATATTTTAACATATAAAATTGGTACTTGAACGTTTAAAGTACGTGTACTGTATATAGAGACAGTTTTTTAAAACAAATGCGGAATTTGAAGCACACTAGCACCATCTGTGATATGCTGAAAACACTAAATGCAGAGTAAAGCGTGTTTGTTTTGTTTTTGAGAGAACGGATCATCCAATTTGTATGATCCAAAAAACATTCAGTTCGTAATGATGGGGAAAGTGGTTATTAGTTTTTGGCAAAGGTAGGCCCAGTGGTTTCAGAGATACAGAGCCAAATGTTGAAAAAATGGCAGTTTTTAAGAGAACTAAGCGTCCGATTTAAATGATTCAAAGAACTTTCTACTTGTTTCAACAAAAGTAATTGCTTTTTGGAAAAAAAACTGTTTCTAATTTTTTTTCCATAAAATATTTTTGTAATTTTGGATTGAAAATTCAAAAAATTGTCCAGGCTAAGCATAGTCTAAGCGCCACTCTGGTACAAATGTTTACCCAAGTGCGTTTAGACTGTTTATATACTGGAGCAATTTTCCAATTTTATGAAAACCATTAAATGAAAATGTGAAAATGCTGCCAAGCTAAGCACAGTATAAGTGAAAATGTCGCACAAAATTATTTGCAAATGCGTTTAGATTGTGACTATACGGGAGCACTTTTTCAATTTTGTGTAAATTAGGCAACTATTTTTTTTTTGAAATTGAATTCGAAATGAAATGACGATTGTTAATGTTCCGGGAGATAAATTGATTTACGATTTACATTTGATTTGCTAGATAGATATAACAAGATAGCAAAAATAATGAAAGTTACGACAGTATTTGTAATAATATATTTGAAACTCCACTTAAATAAGTTAACATACATAAATGTTGTTTAATTTATAATCTCTTACATTTTGTCTATAAAATATAAATAATGAAAGTTACAGTATTTATAATTATATTTGAAAACATTTTAAATTCCTCAAATATTTCATTACGGTGCAGAAAATTCCAGCAGTTTGCCTCAAGGCACAATACCATACACCACTAGTTACTATTTTTATTAATATCAGGTAAAAAATGCCCAATTATATATATTATAAAATTTAGTTTATTTTTTATAGGTTATGTGAACATTACAATACTACCAGAAATAAGAACAGAAAACCTATACCGAGAAGATGTAAACGATCTAATAAAATCAGTAAAAACCACAATGATAAAACAAACAAATGAGGATCTATGAAAATATTTATTTCAACGGAATGGATAACAAAAATACAAGGGTAACAGACTACAATGTAATCAAATTTATACTTAATACAATTATAATAGTTAAGAGTTTATTATAATCTTAGTTGAATCCCTCCTGAGCCTTTTTCTCTTGTCCTTCAGTCCAAGCCTTTGCAATCATCCGTTTCATATCATCATCACCAGACTCATACATTTTCTTCATAATATTCATCAAACCAGCAGAAGGATCGGAGTCTTTGGATAAATCATCAGCACCTGTGTCTAATTTCTTGCTCTCGCTAGCACGTTTTTCAAGCTCAGTCATGTGGGACCATTTATTAGTACTTGTTTTGGATAAACTTACAATCACCATGTCGGTCTTGACTTTCCAGGTGCTTTTGGATGCATCGATAGGCTCTAGTAAGTTTTTGATAACTAAAGTATAATCTCGGTTTTCTAAGCTTTTTACACTTAGGGTCATGGAGCGGTCTGTGAATTCGCAAGTGACATTTTCAGCAGGGACTGTGTGTGCTTTTTGTAAGGTTACATAGATTTTAACGAATTTGTCGGACTGATCCCATGAGTAGTTGTTTAATTTGACTTGGTAGCACTTGTTGGTGTCGGATGATGCTGATTGTTTGGGTTCTAAGCGTTCTTTGACTAGTGTTTCATTTAGTTTGGTTATTTCGGTTTCTATTTTGCGAATTTCAATACTTAAAAAGTCTTTAACTTTTTGTCTGGTGGAGGTACTTAAGTGCTGTTTTAATTCTTGGACGTCTTTATTGAGCTGTAAGAAATATACTTGGTAATTGACATATTATTTAAATCTAACAAATTTGACAATAGCATTAGAGTTGTATATTTTTTACCTCAGCGATCTTTGCCTCGGCCATTGTCGTTATTTTTACAATATTATATTCTTAAACTATGTTGCACAATTTAAACACTATATATTTGCGTTTACACACTTTAAATTCCAATAAATTTGCGGGTTGTATGAGTGTGAACACACGCGTTCGTTGTCGATTGTTCTGCTTCGCGAAAATTCTATGTGTTGCCAGATGCGACAGAAATTTCTGTGGGTACATTGTTCGTTTTAAAATTAGCTGCAAATAGTTAACAAGTATTTTTTCAAATTTTTGTAGATAAAGTTAATTGTTTTGATAAATATGAAATAATTCATTATTAAATACGCCAATTATCTTTTTTTTATGTGCAAGTGATATGTTTTAGTACCAAGACCAAATTTAATATAATAATAATAGTCATATAAACATTATGTTTAATTCAATTTTTTAAATGTTTTCAAAATTTTCAAAAATCTTCAAATTTGCCTTGAGCCAAATCTATAGATATATTTAAAACTAGTGGTGCATGGCATAATGCCTCAAGGCAATTTTGTACATTTTCCAAAATTTTGAAAACATTTAAAAAAATTGAATTTTGAGAAAATTGCCTTCTTCAGAAACTTTTCGAAAACTTGGATTTCTTTCGAAAACATTTAAAAAATATAAATTTTGAGAAAAATTGCGTTTTTTAAAAATACTGATGTTTCTTGAATACTTGGAAACTTTTTGAAAACATGTAAAAAATTTGAATTTTGAGAAAAATTGCCTTTTTTAAAAATACTGATATTTTTTGAAAACTTAGAAACTTTTTAAAAACTTGATTTTTTTTTAAAACATGAAAAAAAATTGAATATTGAGAAATATTGTCTTTTTTGAAAATATTGATATTTTTTAAAAACTTAGAAATTTTTTGAAAACATGGATTTTTTTTTGAAAACATTTAAAAAATTTGAATATTGAGAAAAATTGCCTTTTTTAAAAATACTGATATTTTTTAAAAAACTTAGAAACTTTTTGAAAACTTGGAATTTCTTGAAAACATTTGGGAATCGGGATTGAGAAAAATTGTTTTCTTTGAAAATACAGATATTTTTTCAAAACTTGGATTTTTTTTAAAAACATTTAAAAAATTTGAATTTTAAGAAAGATTGCCTTCTTTGAAAATACTGATATTATTTGAAAACTTAGAAACTTTTTGCAAAATTTAGAATTTTGAAAATATTCAAAAAATTTGAATTTTGAGAAAAATTGTCTTTTTCGAAACTGCAGATATTTTTTGAAAACTTAGAAACTTTTTGTAAAATTTAGAATTTTTAAAACATTTAAAAATATTGAATTTTGATTAAAATTGTTTTTTTTGAAAATAATGATATTTTTAAAATTTAGAAACTTTTTGAAAACTTTGAATGAATTTTTTTGAAAATGTTGAAATTTCTTGAAAATCCTTGATCCCAATCATATCGGTTGATTCAAATTACAAAATAATTGATTTTCGACTACCAAATGGCATTTTTTTTTTAAATTTTTTCTTGACCTCCGAAACCGCTGGACCTGCCTTTGAAAAAACTTAATGAATTTTTCATTACGTTAATACATATATAAAATATTTTTTTGAATAATTCAAATCAGATGCTCCATTCTCTCAAAAACTCGATTTCTATTTTCTGCACTCTCTGCTCCGTATCTCCGAAAGGGCTGGACCTGCCTTTGGCAAAAACTAATCAGCACGTCTCCCTATCAATAGGAATCGAATGTTTTTTTGAATCATTCAACTCGGTTTATCCGTGCACCCGAAAACGTGGACGAAAAATTGTATCCACACATACACACACATTAATTTTTTCTAAGGTATGTCAAAATGCTCAGAAACCTTTAAAATTTAAAAATATATTAAATATATATAATTATTAATTATATATAAAACTTTCAATTTCGATTTTTGGACGATTACAATAACTTATCCAACAGGAATTTAAATAATAAATTCAGAATAAATTAGAATTCTAGTATTAATATAGAAAATTATTTTAGATGTCAAAAATATGATTTGCATTTCTAAATGTCAATTAAATTCAACATTGTTTTAACTAATACTAATAATTAATTATTTTAACTAATTACTTTAACTATCTACCACAACATTATTTAAATTAATAATAATATTTTTTTCTTTTGTTCATAAATATATATTTCCACCGATGCGATGGAACAGACCAGTCACAATCCTTTACCCTTTAGCCTCATCTGGCAACACAGTGCACATATTGAATATTTTTGTTTATATTTGACATATTTGACATTTTTTTCAAAAAATGAAGACTGACGGTTTGTTGGCCGGGAGCTCCGATGACAAAGCACCCGACAGTTCGGAAAATGGAATTAGAAAACCAAAAGTTGTCAAAGGAAAGAAAAGGAAATTGAAAAGTGCCAAAGATGCGGGCGCTCCGAAGCAACCTTTGACAGGTCAGAGGATAATAATAATTGATATATTGAGATAAATGTTTGTTTTTGTTGGTAAATGATAATGAGGGGGCTCTTGGGGAATCTTTCATAGGTTAGAAGATAAGTTTATTTTACTTATTTATTTATTTTAAATATATAGCCCACAGATTTCTTCCAAGAGGACTCAAAAATACAATTATTTTACATAATGAATAACAAACAATTCAAATATATACAAAATTACATATATAGATATTAACATAAAATGCCTAACATAAAATTACTTATAATGCAGAATGTAACAATATTATTTATAAACAGAATAAGATAAGATAATGAGATATTTGAAAAGGAAATAAAAAGGTTAACTCGTGCAGATGGAGATTGTTTGATTAGGTGAAATGTTGTGAATATCTATTTCATTATTAATTAAGTTAAAGTTAGAGGACATAAGTAGAATAGGCGAATTTAAGAGAGAATTAGATTTAGGAGTAGAATAATTGAAAAATAATTGTGAACGCGTAGATAGCCTTGGAACATTAAAAGATAGTTAGTTAAGAATAAGAGGACAGTCTATAGAATTATAGCAAAGTTTAAATAAGAACATACATAATTGTACAGATAAATCGACGTGAGGCAAGAGAAGGAATACCAAATTCTTTTAATAAAGTGTTGTGGTCAAAGCCACGTTCAGGGTAAATTTTATATGTTTTATAATAAAGGTATTTCAGAATTTTTCGCTGAACCTTCTCTATCGCATCAGAGTTGTTAATTTGATGAGGATACCAAATAATCGAACCATATTCTAATTTTGAACGTACAATAGAATAGTACATGCAAAGAAGTGCATTGTTAGAATTGAATTATGTACAATTTCTCAGTATCAAACCTAAAGATTTATGTGCTCTATTACAAATATCAGTTATATTATCCGCGAAAAACATACCAGAATCAAAAAGAACTCTTAAATCTGAAATTTTATTACATCTATCAATGCTGGTGTTTGAAATTTTATAATCGAAATGTATTGGAACGCGCTTATGTGAAAAACTAAGAATCTTGCACTTTGATATATTTAAATGTAATTTGTTATAGATACACCAAGAGTGGAAAGAGTCAAGTTGAGACTGTAATAATAAGCAGTCATCAATAGAATTTATTTTGAGATTTAGTTTGAGATCATCTGCAAATAATAAATGTGGACAGCTAATAATATCAGATATGTCATTAATAAAAATAAAAAGTAGTAGTGGACCAAGAATGGATCCCTGAGGAACATCAGAACTGATATTTTCAATGTTACTCAAGGATCCATTAAGATAGACAAACTCTTTACGATTATGAAGATAACTCTTAAAAAAATAAATAAGTGAAGAATTAAGACCAATTGTAGATAATTTAGTAAGAAGAATGTTATGATCAATTTTGTCAAAAGCTTTACTGAAGTCAATGTAAATAACATCTAACAACTTGTCCATTTGTGTCAAGATTCTCAGCTATATATATTCTTTAATACAGATTAAATTTGTTATCGTAGAATGGGCAGGCATGAATCCATGTTGATTAGTAGAAATTAAAGGTTATATAGTTATTGGTATATAAATAGTTATTGTTGTAAATACAGGTTAGTGCGGGTGCTCCGAAGCAATCCTAAGCAGTAAAACATATTGTGCAAGGGATTCTATAGACTATATGTAATTATGAAATGTTGTCAGATTTTAAACTTGTAGTTCATCAAAAAAGAAAGCTTAATTAACTTCCCGTAGGGTAAGTTATTGTAATGGGCCGAAAATCGAAATTGAAAATTTTTACATTTTTCGACGTTTTCAAGGTTTCTGAACATTTTGGCATACCTCAGAAAAAATGGCTGTGTTAGTGTGTGTGTGTGTATGTATGTATGGATACAAATTTCCAGTCACGTTTTAGGGCGCATGGATCAACCGATTTGAATGGTTCAAAAATCATTCGATTCTTATTAATAGGGAAAAGAGCTGATTAGTTTTTGGCAAATGCAGGTCCAGCCGTTTCGGAGATACGAAGCAAAGAGTGCAGAAAATAAAAATCGACTTTTTGAGAGAACGGCGCATCCGATTTGAATGATCTAAAAAACATTTAATTAGTAATGATTGGGAGAAGTGGTTATTAGTTTTTGAGAAAGGCAGGCCTAGCTATTTCGGAGGTACGGAGCTAAATGTGCAAAAATAGGCAGTTTTTAAGAGAATTAAGTGTCCGATTTAAATGATTCAAAAAACTTTCTGCTTGTTTTAACAAAATAATTGATTTTGGAAAAAAATATTTTTGTATCATTTTTTTTTTTAGTTTTCTTTTTTTAGTTTTTTTTTGTATATCGATAATAATTCAGATTTTATTTTTAATTCTGACTATAGTTCTAATATACTTTGAACAAATAATTTCAACTTTGCAATTCAGTTTATATAATTCTTATGAATATTAGACAATGTTACAATATTTATAATAATCTATTTGAAAAGATTCAGTATTCGTCGAACATTTCGTTACGGTACGGGAAGTTCCAGCAATTTGCCTTAAGGCTGCCTTTAAACTTCGATACTTATTTTTATCTTGTATGAAAAATGAATACAATTATATTAAAATACAAAACAAACAAACATTATACCCAAATTATTTATTTAATGACACAAACTGCAATATTCAATGACTATTTCTAATATAAAACTAGCTGTAAGTGGAGTTCTGTCTTGAGGCAATTATGGCATCGTGCCTTAAGGCAAATTGCTGGAACTTCCCGTACCGTAACGAAATGTTCGAGGAATACTGAATGTTTTCAAATAGATTATTATAAATATTGTAACATTGTCTAATATTTATAAGAATTATATAAACTGAATTGCAGAGTTGAAATTATTTGTAAAGTATATAAATAAAATCTGAAATATTTTCGATATACAAAAAACTAAAAAAAAAAAAAAGTTGGAACAAAATTTTTTTTCCAAAATCAATTATTTTGTTAAGACAAGCAGAAAGTTCTTTGAATCATTTAAATCGGACGCTTAGTTCTCTCAAAAACTGCCATTTTTTACATATTTAGCTCCGTATCTTCGAAATTGCTAGGCCTGCCTTTGCCAAAAACTAATAAACACTTCTCCCAATCATTACTAATTGAATGTTTTTTAGATCATTCAAATCGGGCTCTCCGTTCTCTCAAAAATTCGATTTCTATTTTCTGCACTCTTTGCTCCGTATCTCCGAAACGGCTGGACCTGCCTTTGCCAAAAACTAATCAGCTCTTTTCCCTATCGATAGGAATCGAATGTTTTTTGAACCATTCAAATCGGTTGATCCGTGCGCCCAAAAACGTGACTGGAAATTTGTATCCATACATACATACACACACACACACACACACACACACATCCATTGTTTCTGAGGTATGCCAGTAAAACGTTCAGAAACCTTCAAAACGTCGAGAAATGTAAAAATTTTCAATTCCGATTTTCGGCCCATTACAATAACTTACCCTACGGGAAGTTAATAATATTTTATATTAGAAATAAAATAATATTTCATAATATAAAAAAAAAATCCTTTATCTATTTTTTTGTTTTTGTTTCCTTTATCTAGGTTATATCCGTTTCATGAACGAACGAAGAGAATCACTAAAAGCAGAAAAACCGACTCTAGGATTTGTTGAACTAACTAGATTATTAGCCGAAGAATGGGGCTCTTTGGAAGCTGCCAAGAAGAAGCAGTACTTAGACGCAGCTGAACAAGATCGGGAAAGGTTTGTTATAATATAATTATTGTATAATGAATTTAAATTTGGTGCTTATAATTAATTTTATTTGTAGGTATTTGCGAGAAGTTGATGAATATAAACAAAATGCTGCTAAAACCGTACCTGCTGAGACACCTCAACAGAATTCTAAACAGGCAAATGTAATAAAAATAAATAAATAAATATATATATATATATATATATATATATACACCTAAGTCTGTTTTTACACGGTCTTTTTGTACACGGTTTTGATATAACACGGTTTGAAAATTGAATATTTTTAATTTTTTTACACGATTTTATTCCATTTAGCACGATTTGAAATTTTATGTACTTAAATTTTCTTTGTCAAATTTAATTTTTGCGAAGTATGTTCATATCACAAAAAAGTATTTATGAAAGAAAAAAGTCTGAAACCATCGATAGTATCGATAGTTTGCGAACACTAGCTTAAAGATTTAAGTGAATTTCCCTTTAGCGCGTACAAACAATTTTTACTGGTCAAAGCAAATGTGAATAGCACTAATTTTGGGGAATACTCTAAAAATTCTTGTTTTTCACTAATTTTAATAGGTTTAGAGATTAGGAACAAATCACCCATTTTTGTATAAGATCAATGTCTTTTTTTAAACGTTTTTTTTTTACACGGCTTTTTCTGGAACCAATCTCCGTGTAAAAACAGACTTAGGTGTATATATATTTATTATCAAGTTGATTATCTTTTCAGAACAATCCCCCAGCTCAGAAGTCTCTCAAACAAGAAGATGTGCCGACAGAACTAGACATACCCATATTCACCGAAGAATTTTTAGAACATAACAAAGTACGTATCATTAATAATTCTTATTTTTTTTCATTTTTATTAACTGAGGTGTTCCATGGCGTAACGGTTAAGCGCACTGTCTTGTGTGGACAGCGAAGCCCTGCTTTAGGCAACTTGATATCATGCAGTAGCGATGCCCGTTTTCACTTAAAAATATATATGACTAGTGGTGTATGGCGTCGTGCCTTTAGGCAAATTGCTAGAACTTGCCATACCAAAAATTAAATTTTTTAAAAAAGATTAAATTTTTTTTTAAACTTTGAGAAAATTTGATTTTTGAGAAATTTTTGAAAAAAATTGACTGAATTGGAAAAAAACTAGGAAAGAAGTATTTTTATTTTGCAATATTTCGAAAATTTTGAACTTTTTTTCAAAGCAATTGCGCTGCTTTAGCTGCATAGAGACGAAATATCGAAGCGCGTAAGCGCCACGTCACCGTCTAATGGGCAAACATTGATACGGAACTCATAGGAATGTAAACAAAATTTAACTTATTGTTAAAATCTCCAAAAAATTTTGATTATTTGATGTGCATATGTCTAATGATCATTTTTGACCGCCAAATGGCATTTTTTTCTCACTTTTTTTTACTAGATTTCCGAAACCGCTAGACCTGCCTTCCCAAAAATTCAATTAGTTCTTCATCTTGTTAATACAAGTAAAATGTTTTTTTGAATTATTAAAATCGGACGCTCCGTTCTCTCAAAAAATCAATTATAATTTTTGGCACTTTTTGACCCGTATCTTCGAAACGGCTAGACCTGCCTTTGCTAAAAACTAATCAGCACATCTCCTCATCAATACGAATCGAACGTTTTTTGAATTATACAAATCGGTTGATCGGTGTTCCCGAAATCGTCGACGAAAATTTGTATCCGCACATATACACACACACACACACACGCACACACATAAACACACAAATCATCAACAGTGCAAGAATGTTAACATTCTAGATCTTCCCCCCACGAGGCTTTAGTAAGTATTATGCCCAGGCGGTATTGAGTCTTGCATACTCAGACAAAAGAACTAGTCTGGGATGCATAAAGGAATTTCCTTTGCTATACACAAAAAAATGAAAAAAAAACACACTACATGAAAATAAAATCATAAACATACACACACACACACACACACACATACATCAATTTTTCCTAAGGTACGTCAAAATGTTCAGAAACCTTTGAAACGTACAAAGACGTACAAAAATTGTCATTTTCGATTTTTTGCGATTACTATAACTTACCCCGCGGTAATATAAAAATATGTCTTCTATTATTATTAACTTCCCGTAGGGCAAGTTATATAGTAATCGCAAAAAAATCGAAAATGAAAATTTTTATATATCTTTACGTTTCAAAGGTTTCTGAACATTTTGGCATACCTTAGAAAAAATGGATGTATGTGTGTGTGTGTGTGTGTGTGTGTGTGTGTGTGTATGTATGTGCGGATACAAATTTTCGTCGACGATTTCGGGAACACGGATTAACCGATTTTAATAATTCAAAAAAAAATCGATTTGTATTGATAAGGAGACGTGCTGATTAGTTTTTGGCGAAGGCAGGTCTAGCCGTTCCGAAGATACGGGGCAAAAAGTGCCAAAAACGGTACCTCCGTTTCTAAGAGAACGGAGCGTCTGATTTGAATAATTCAAAAAACATTTTATTTGTATTGACAAGATGAAGAATCGATACAATTTTCATGAAGGTAAGTCCAGCGGTTTCGGAGATATAGAGGAAAAAGTAAAAAAATGAGCCATTTGGCGGTCAAAAATGATCATTAGACATATGCACATCAAATTATCAGATATTTTATAGAGATTTTAACAATAAGTATAAATTTTGTTAACATTCCTATGGGTTCCGTACCAATACTTATGCGTTAGACGGCGGCGCGGCACTTGTGCGCTTTGACATATCGTCTCTATGCAGTTAAAGCAGTACGATTGCTTTGAAAAAAAGTTCAGAATTTCCAAAATATGTCAAAATGAGGTAAAAAAATTTTTTTTTTCAATAAATAATTTTTTTTTAGTCCAATTTATAGTTTCTTAAAAATCTTATTTTTTCAAAGTAAATTTTTTTCAAAAATGTTAATCGTTTTTAAAAAAATAATAATTTTTGGTACGGGAAGTTCCAGCAATTTGCCTTAAGGCACGATGCCCTAATTGCCTTAAGACAGAATTCCACTTACAGCTAGTTTATTATTAGATCAGAGAAACAGAACTACGTCAATTACGAAAGTCCAACACAGACTACGAACAGCAAAATGCAATTTTGCAAAAGCATATCGAAAATATGAGAATGGCCATTGATAAATTGGAGGCTGAAACGGAAGGTCACAAATCTAGTAACGTAATTCTTGGGAATCATTTGGAGAAATTGCGGACGGGGTTGGTTGATGGATTTAAAGACTTTGCGATAACAGGTAATAATAATAATAAAAAAGATATTTAGGGACTGATTCTGGCGCATAACAGACCAATGTTATGGCAAGGCTACGTTATGCTTCAAATTACATACATTATGGTAATGAATCATTACCGTCGTTTTACACATAAACTGCAACGTTACTCGTAGGGAATGCAATATTGGTTTACCGGTATACCGAATTACCGGTAAACCGCCCGATTTTTTGGCGGTATTTTTACCGGTATTTACCCCAAAAATACCGGTATTTTCGGTATTTTCACATAAGCGCTATTTGATACATAATACACTGAAGTTTAAATTTCTCAGAACAAATTTATCTTTAAATTCGATAATCGCATAAACAGCTATATCTTCAAGTGATTCTATAGGATAAACAAATTTCGAATATTATCTCAGCTCGCCATTAAACTGAATATTTATTGCTTTCCAAAGGGCTTCATATCGTGTTACAATAAATAGAATTGGACTGATAGATAATGATGTTTGTTTCATCTTATGTAAAAATGTAACGATTTTTTAAGTGATATTTGCGCCAAAATATTTTATATCATACAAATTACCCCTGCGTAATCTTTATTTATTTTCAACTTTATACATAATAATTATGATAATTACTAAATATTTTTGCTTCTTATTACAATTATGAAATTTTATTTTTCGAAAACGTTTCGAAGTTTGAAAATACTATAGAAGCATCACATTGTTTTAAATAACAATACTCAACAATTATAGTAACTTATTATTTATTTCGACAAAGTATTCGATCTTAAATTAGTGCAGGAAAATTATTTTTTTAAAATATTGGAAATTATGCTAATTTAACACATCGGATACAGACAATACAGTTTATTATAATAATGTAATATGATCTTTTTGAGTTTTTGGTCTTTCTTACTCATAAGTTTGTTTTTGGTGAAAAGTACTCAATATACACGATAGTGCTAATGAATTAATTAAATTTGATATAATTTTGTTAAATTTTTATTCAAAAAAATAAACTTATTGTTTTATTTGATTGTTTATTTAAATATAGTTTTAGTTGTATATACATTTTTTTTATATTTGCCCTAGTAACTTTCAATTTTGTTTACGTTTGTTTAAGATAATAAAAATACCGGTAATTTACCGGTTTTCCGGTTTTAAAATGAAAAATTACCGAAATACCGGTAATGAAATTTTCCATCGGTATTGCATTCCCAAGTTACTCGTATGTTATGAAGTTGAGACAGAAAGACCCTGTTATATCTAAGATAATGTGCAATTTCTAGGTTATGTTTCCTATCTGACAACCAGAGAAATATGCCTGACTGCAGAGCAACCGCATGGCTTTTGTTAATATAAGGTTGTCAAATATCTCCCTTCCGCCTTTTTGTATTATAAACCAAGAGCAAAAAAGCGGAAGGGTAATATTTGACAACCTAATATTTAGTAAGGAAAGTCCTTCATAACATGGCCTTGCCATAACATTTGTCTATTATCAGAATCGGTCCCTTCTAATAAAGTGTGATTGTGTGACTATTTATTATTTTGTGCAGGTTTCGATGGTGCTACTTTACAAAACATTGACGAGTACATGATACAACTGCAAACGGTGCTCCAAACAAGCGGTCAAAACGCTCTAAAAACAAAAGCTCGTGATATTTTAAACCAATTAGACGTACCTACATAATAATAATAATAATAATAATAATAAAAACCGACTATTTTGTATTTATATTTAAATTTTAATTACACACTACATAATAACGATTAAATCAAGATGATGTATCTTTACTCCTCATTTGTTTTTGTCTCTGAAATTCCTCCTCTATGTATTTGTCTAAATCGTCTAAGGGTCTGTAGTACATGTGTACGAGTTGTGAACCGGCAAACATTGTCAGTAAAGCTGCACTCATGAATTTGAGGTATTGACCCCAGGATACTCCGGCAGGCATTGTAATAATTATAATTTTATATTTGAATTGTCGAGGGCAAGTTTTTCCTTCAACTATGGTTTGGCTTGGCGACGCTTGTAAACTTTATCTGAAGAGGAAAGACTCGGGTAAATAGAAAGATTTACCTGTAATGAAATTCTGCAGTTTTTATAGGTTAGTTTTCATGTGTCTATTACTACGTACAGAAGTTCGTTTCCCCGACTTGCCACTTTATCATAGAGAATTCTAGCGCAGCACCCAATACAAAGAATATTGGTAAAAAAACTATAGAATCCAAATTTACGTCGTCCTGGCCACTTACTCAAAAAAGAGCGTAATGTACGGCTCACAAAAGGCATCTATGTTTATAATTATTAAATTTATTGTGCAATGATGTTGTGGTGTTTTTATATTGACCAGGCTTTATAATGTTTTATATTGTGTTCACAAGTAATTTTTTCAAAGTTATTTGATATTGAGATTAGTGTTGTGTGAAGGATCTTGTTTTCAGTGTAATGTTTTATTGCTTATGGTGAGTGTTTTGGGTAATCTGTCATATGTGTTGGTAATTATGTAATTATGGTATAATTAAATATTTTAATATTTTCTGTATATTTTGCTATGAATTTGCTATATATTAGTTTGAAAAATTATGCACAATTAAATAGGTGTGTAAATTTTTTTGCGGTTTTGTCAAAAGGTTACAAACGAACATAAATTTACTTAAATAAATATTAACATTTCTTTGATTCAGTATAAAAAGTATATTAAAACAAAATAATATACAATATATTAAGGACTGCGAAGAAATGTGATATTTATTATCTTCGAAATTGAACATTTTTGAATATCTCTTTACGTTCCAAAGGTTTCTGAGCATTTTGGCAAACCTAGAAAAATACAGATGTATGTATTTGTGTGTGTATACAATTTTTGGTCGACGTTTTCAACCGATTTGAATGATTCAAAGAAACATTCTATGATAATGTTATTTTTATAAATATTGACATTTTATCGATTTAGTTCAAGAAATAAGTATATTAAAACAAATTAATATACAATATATTAAGAACTGTGAAAAAATGTGATATTTATTAACTTTCCGTAGGGTAAGTTATAGTAATGTCCAAAAATCGAAAATATTTATTTTGCATATCTTTACGTTTTAAAGGTTTCTGAACATTTTGGCATACCTTAAAAAAATTGATGTGTTTGTGTATGTTTGGATACAATTTTTCGTCGACGATTTCGGGCGTACGGATCAACTGATTTGAATGATTCAAAAACCATTCGATTCCTATTGATAGGAAGATTTGCTGACTAGTTTTTAACAGAGGCAGGTGCAGCCGTTTTGGAAATATAGAGCAAAAAGTGCAGAAAATAGAAATCGGGTTTTGAGGAAACTGAGCATCCAATTTGAATGATTCAAAAAACTTATGCTTGTAATGATGGAGAGAAGTGGTGATTAGTTTTTAGCAAAGGCAGGACCAGCCGTTTTGGAAATATGGAGCTAAATGTGCAAAAAATTGCAGTTTTTGAGTGAACTAAGCATCCGATTTGAATTATTCAAAGAACTTTTTGCTTTTGGAAAAAAAATTTTATTAACTTCCCGTACGGTAAGTTAATATAATCGTCCAAAAATCGAAAATGAAATTTTTTTGCATTTCTCGACGTTCTGAAGTTTCTGAACATTTTACTGGCATACTTCAGAAACTAAATGGATGTGTGTGTGTGTTTTGTTTGTCCGCATTTTTTCGTCCACGTTTTCGGGCGCACAGATCAACCGATTTGAATGGTTTAAAAAACATTCGATTCCTATTGATAGGGTGATGTGCTGATTAGTTTTTGGTAAAGGCAGGTCCAACAGTTATGCAGATGTGGAGCAAAGAGTGCAGAAAATACAAATAGAGTTTTTGAGAGAACGAAGTATCGGATTTGAATGACCTAAAAAACATTCAATTTGTAATGATTGGGAGAAGAGGTGATTAGTTTTTGGCAAAGGCGGGACCAGCCATTTCGAAGATACAGAGCTAAATGTGTAAAAATGGCAGTTTTTGAGAGAACTAAGCGTCCGATTTAAATGATTCAAAGAACATTCTGCTTGTTTCAACAAAATAATTGCTTTTTCAAAATGTTTAAAAACCCTTGAAACGTAAAGACCAACATAAAACATTTGACAATAGTTTTTCATCGGCTCACTAGCGCCAAATTTGCGACTACAATATGTCCCCTAACTAATTCTTCTGAACGCGTCTTTATCAAAAGATACTCTATGCTCGAAATGTCAACTTGAATTCGGATTTCGGAACGACCATAACCGTGTTATAGATAAAAAAGCGTGTAAAGTGTTAATATCATTTTAAGCAGCCGGAAGATTATATACAACAAATGCAAGTATATTTAGATTGAATATAATATTTGAGATATTTGAAAAAGATACTATACACAGTGAAAATGTCTGAAGAAACAATTAGGAATGATCCGAAAATTAAAATTGAGCCACTAGAACTTTCAATAGAAGTCATAAAACTTGAAAATGAATGTGATGGAAATCTTGAAGGTATTGTTAAGTCTGAATCATGTTTAGAAGATGATGAAACTTGCCTGGAAAGATTTATGAATTCTGAAATAACTATTGAAGAAGAAATCAAACAGGAGGTAATTGAGACACCCGGTTGTGAATATGATATTAGTAATGGATCATTTTCAGAATCTAATTATTTAAAAGAGCACATGGTTGATGATGATCAGAAAATTAAAATTGAGCCACTAGAACTTTCAATAGAAGTCATAAAACTTGATAATGAATGTGATTTTGAAGGTATTGTTAAGTCTGAATCATGTTTAGAAGATAATGAAACTTGTCTGGAAAGATTTATGAATTCTGTATGAAAATTTATGAATTCTGAAATACTATGAAGAAGAAATCAAACAAGAGGTAATTGAGACACCCGGTTGTGAATATGACATTAGTAATAAATCATTTTCAGAATCTAATCATTTGAAAGAGCACATGGTTGACCACATACCTAGAAATGGCAAAAATGGCAACCATAAATGCAATGTATGCGATAAGACATTTAAATATTCATCAAAATTGCAACAGCACATGATTACTCATACCACAGAATGCACTATCGAATGCAAAATCTGTCATAAGAAGTTGAAAGATAAAAGCACTTTGAAAAGACATATGCTTATTCATATAGGAAAACAAAACCCTTTCAAATGCAAAATATGCAATAAGACATTCACACGAAAAGATAATATGAAATCACACATGATCATTCATACCAAAGAGCGTCTTTTCAAATGTGAAATATGCAATAAGACATTCACACAAAAATTTAATATGAAATCACACATGCTTATTCATACCAAAGAGCGTCTTTTCAAATGTGAAATATGCAATAAGACATTCATACAAAAAGGTAATATGAAATCACACATGGTCACTCATACCAAAGAGCATCTTTTTAAATGTGAAATATGCAATCAGACATTTTCACGAAAAGGTAGTGTGAAATCACACATGCGTATTCATACAGGAGAACGCCCTTTCAATGTCAAATATGCAGGAAAGCATTCCTACAATCGTGTGTCTTCTTGAATAGGCACATGCGTATTCATACAGGAGAACGCCCTTTCAAATGTGATACATGCAATAAGGAATTTGCTAATTCGAACAACTTGAAGATACACAAGGTGATGTTCATACAATGGAAACGTAGTGAAGATCAATGAAATATTAACAAGCAGAAAGCAGAAAATTCTATGAATTACTTATATTTTATTTGCATTGTAAATTAATTGCTGCTGTACAAATATTTAATACTATGAATAAATTTATAAATAAATTTGTTTTTATATTATAAGATTTATAGATATTGTTACAAATTTTATTAAAATGCATCTTTCGTATTAAATTGTACTCAGTCATAATATTTCAAACAAAACTAGTGGGGTGTGTGGCATCGTGCCTTAAGGCCAATTGCTGGAACTTCTCGTACCATAACGAAATGTTAGAGAAATACTGAATGTTTTCAAATAGATTATTATTATATGTAACATTGTCTGATATTTTTAAGAATATATAAAACTGAATTGCAAGTAAAATTATTTGTTCAAAGTATAATAGAATTATAGTCAAAATTTAAAATAAAATCTGAATTATTTTCGATATACAAAAAAAAAAAATTGAAAAAAAAAATTTTGAAACAAATTTTTTTTCTTAAATCAATTATTTTGTTAAAACAAGCAGAAAGTTCTTTGAATCATTTAAATCGGACGCCTCAGTTTTCTCAAAAACTGCCATTTTTTGCACATTTAGCTCTGTATCTCCGAAATAGCTAGGCCTGCCTTTGCCAAAAACCAATAAACACTTCTCCCAATCATTACTAATTGAATTTTTAGATCATTCAAATCGGATGCTCCGTTCTCTCAAAAACTCGATTTTATTTTCTGCACTCTTTGCTCTTTATCTCCGTAACGGCGGGACCTGCCTTTGCCAAAAACTAATCAGCACATCTCTCTAGCAATAGGAATCGAATGTTTTTTGAACCATCCAAATCGGTTGATCCGTGCGCCCGAAAACGTGACTGGAAAATTGTATCCATACATACATACATACACACGCACATCATTTTCTGAGGTATGCCAAAATGTTCAGAAACCTTCAAAACGTCGAGAAATGCAAAATTTTCAATTTCGATTTTTGGATGATTACAATAACTTACCCTACGGGAAGTTAAAAAGAGTGCGCGTTAAGGTTCACACGTGATTGAAGTTAAACTTCTTTGCTACTGTACAAGATGGCATTTAAGTGAAAATAAATACATCAAATAACAATTTTGAATAATTTGTATTAGTAATATGGTAACACTTCGTAATGCACACATTTATTAGTGTCGACCATTATACACATTTATATAATGGTAAATTTTAAATTATATATTTATAATACCATTAAAAATATGTGTAATATTTAAAAACAATATGTAATTAAAGTCATACTTCAAATACGATATGATCGGTTTGTCATTGCAATTAGCATTTAGGACTCGAACCTTTATTAGATGAGATGAAGTAAATGCTGATTAATAATTCTATAATATTCGTTCACACAGTGGATTATGTTAAACAACGCCTAAACAAATTTGTTTTCGCAACTTCACTCATCATGTATAATTGTGTTTGAAGAACTTCATGTAATTAAAATTAACATACATTCATTGACTGCTTGTATTTTTTTTACTATTTTGCTGGCGATACAGTCTCTTCATAGATAAATAAGCATTTCTCATTCTTTGAGCAGCTGTAGAATCTGTCTTTCCAAAAAATATTTCCATTTTAATAACTTCAAAGATTTATAGAAACTACGCATAATATAGAAATAATTTCTAATCAATAAACTTACGTTTAGTACACGGCAATAATGTTTAATTTGTTTTGTATTTTCAAGGGACAGGTAAAATATTCTCCTGATTCAGGAATTTTCATTAAATCAACATTTGTACTACGATGTAACTTTAAAATGTTTATTTATCTATGCCGATTTCTTGTCGATATCGGTACGCATACAACGTGATGCCGGTACGTATACAACAACAGATCTCTATTCACATACACGACGACTAATCAAATTTGACCCGTATAGAAATGATTTCATCAAAAGCGAATGACGTATAGTTCTGGCGTAACGCATTTCCGTTGCATTTGTACGGATTTACACCTCAGTCGCGCCTAAAGAAGTTTTACTTCAAAACACATAATTAATTATGTATTTATTTATGTTTTCTTATTTGAATTCAAACTGTTACCGACTCTCCGTCTAAACCTAATTCTA